CTGCAATTTCTTGCATGTATGAATTCCTGACGTGCAGTCCATGATCTTTAGGCCTAATCAGCCTGCATGTGTTCAATACATAGTGATATAAAGGAGGAGTCCAGAAGAACGCAATGAAATGGGAAGATTTCTGATCCTACAGGATTCTCTGATGCAGCAGAAAAAGGAAAACAAGAGAAGGGGTCTAGAGACGGAATTTTACACATTCTAACTAGAAATGAAGTACGACAATCCCTCTTCAGCCTCAACATCATGAGCAGCAGGAGTCAGAGAGTCACACTAGGAATTGTCAGATAGGTCAGGAACAACAGGGGAGACTCAGACCTATGGGTAACCCTTCACCTTCATCCTTTACCTCCCTCTGCATCCCTGGGCCTGCCCTATGAAGCTGCATTGCTGTAATGATTATTTCCTGCTATGACTGGCTTTGAACCAGCTTTTTTATACGTAAATAGGATCAGTGGGGAGCTACCCCAGCCCACCTCAGCACAACCAGCTGTGCCCCATGCAGAGCAAACCCATGTCAAGCAGAAGCTGCTGTTTCCAGTTTGAACTCACAGAATAGGAATGTGAATCAGATCCGATCTGCTTCCTCTTCGTTTAAAGACACAAGCTCTGCTCAGAAACCTGCAATACCTTCCTAAGGCTACTATCTCCAAAACCTGATTTTTAGGCACTACCCATATAAATCCCAGTAGCAAAAACTCCTCTACGAAGCTCACATCCTTCCCGAAACACTTCCAGCTGAATGGCTTGCTTACACAGGTGGCTGCTAACACATTTCCCTAGGTTTATATAAATTGTCTGTGCAGACAAGTGTTTAAATGGACTAGATGGAAATCCCTTCCCGTCTCCGCTCCAGAAGGAGAGCCTGGAAGTGCTGCAGCACAGACATGACCTCAACGCCTGCAATGGAAGCAGTTCAGCATGGGCTGTGCATTGAGTGATGTAAGGAGCTAAGTTTGGAGAGGAGAAGTCCCACACGGGGCGAACCTCACGGACGATTTTAGCTTATGAATGAGTAAGCAGAGGTATGTTCTCAGCCAAAACCACTGAAGTATGTGAGTGACATCACCAGCATGCGAGTGAGTGACCGAAGGGGTGTGCTCACAGCGCAGGCATCTCCCCAGTTATTTGCTACACTGCCAGTGTCAGAAAGTGGAACCAATCCACACTGCTCAGACAGGGACAATTTTCACCAAAACCCATTTTTTTTTTAAAATCACTGGGTGTCAACTTTCAGGCCAAAACCAAAACAAACCAAAACAAAAACAAATAAATCCCATGCGCAGAGTACAATCCAGAAGCATCCCAGGGGACTCCTAGCTGCCTGAAGTCAAACCTAGAAACAGCCTGACTGCTCGGTGCAATGACTGACTGAGCCCGATGAGAACCTGGGCACTGGGTCAGGAATGCGAGGCTGAAACACAGCCTCCTGCCGCCGCTCCGACGGGATAGAGGGTTCACAGAGCTGCCACATCCACGCAGCTCTCCCTGCGCGCGCGGGGAGCCGCACAGAGCCACCATTGTCACTTGCCTTGGGAATTCTCCCTTTCCGTGCACGGGCTGTACCGGCCATCTGGTCACGGTGACGCGGCCTCCGCGCGGCAGCGGAGGCCCCAACCGCGAGGGCCCTTCTGCACCGAGGGAGAGGGGAGGTGAAGGCAGGGAGTCTTTGGGCCGCAGGGAGCGCGTTTGCTGGGACAGGCAGCGTGTTAGCACTGTGCGGCCTCTGTGTCGCTTCTCATCTCCGTGTGCGCTGCCTGGCCTTGGCCGTTTGGCCAGAAAAAGGACAGCAGCTCAGTTCAGGTCTCACAACCAAGGTGACAAGTCCATCCTTTGGCCATAGCAAGGGGTGCTATGGGAGGGCCTCCCAAGCTAGGGGACTGCTTGATCCCCATAAAGGGTTTCTAACTACCAGTGTAATAAATCAGCCTCTCCAATAGCAGGTGACTAGAGGAAAGGGTTTGGGGGACAGAGGACAGTTCCAAATCTGTCTCTGTGGAGATCTCCAAGCAGCAGAACAGGGCAGATCACCTGTCTGCACAACAGCTGGTCCTGACCTACATAGAAACCAGATGCTTCTAATCAGGCTTGGTCATTTGCCTCTGATACAGAAATTGGGTTCACATCAGTATTAAGAAGGCAAAATGCAGCAATGCAACAAAGCTTGTAGGTCAAAGAAAGTCCAGGCCCAAATCTGAACCACTCATTCCAGCAGGAGACAACCACAGGGATCACAGGGAAGGCAGGGCCACTTGCCACACTCCTCAGGTTACTATTCCCAGAGAAAAAAAGCAAATGCAATGACGGCAGCAGAGGCAAAGCAGAGGGAACACATGGGGAGGACCAGGTGCTGGCAGGGAGCCATCTCACCCGTTAGCAGTGGTCTTTAAGACTGAGGATGCAAAAACTCACCTAGAGCAAGTCTACGTTGCTGGCACCAAAACAGGTGTTGCAAGAGCAGTGTGACAACTATCCACACAAATGGCCTCAACTACTCTGCAGCAGCTGGGGAGAGTCTCCAGTCTTCTCATGTCTTTCTTTCTTAGAATACAAGTCTTTACTCCTTACAATAATGATCACATCAAATGTAAAGTCAAATGCAAGATAACCTGTCCAGCATGGGTAGCTCCAAGGCTAACGCTCTGCCTTCCGTGAGAGCTCTAACAATTTGGGGTAAAATACCCAGGCACTTCCTCAGCAGCTGGACATGGCTCCTGCTGCTGAATCGGACTGGCACTCAAACTGGCAGACATCCAATGTTATTGTTATCGATGGCTATTTGGGGATCCAGCTCCAGTGGACACGGTGTTATCAGGTTCCTTTGATGGGCAAGTGCTCATGCAACAAGAATTACTGCAGGAGCCAAGGGTGAAGTGGGCCTTGCAGCGCGACGCGTTCCCATGGCCACAGAGCATCATTCTGCAGCCAAGATCAGACTCACCCTGGTTACACGTAGCTGCAGAGTGACAGTCTAGCAGGAACCTTTAACCTTTCTGCATTAAAAAAAACAAATTTTCCTTTTGAAAAGAACTTGTGACTGACTTGACTCCCTCCCAAGTACATTCAGGTTTGCTCGCAACACTTGCAGCCATGAACCCTTGCTAGGTCAGAGAAAGAGCTGGCAGTTGTAGCTGGGATTCTGTGTGCTGGACACATCTCCCCATTTCCCAGGCTCTCCAGTACGTGGAAACGCACATGTACTCGGAGAGCAGTTACTGAGTCCAGAGAGGAGAAGGGAAGAGGCCAGCAGTCTCCCACACCAGTTGCCAGCTGCTGGCTCGCCCACAAACCCTATACCATGCCAAGGCTCTTAAAAACACAAACTGAATTGAAACACTTTCACACATTTAAAAAAAAAATCCAACACAATCTGGAGCTGGTAACAGGGATGCCCGAAGAACACAGTGGATGCATTTTGTCCAGTATGCACGGATCACGAGGAAGACCGAAGGGTTACCAGGCAACCATTTACAGAACATATAACATATATCTCAGAGAACCTATAAGCAATGTTCACATGTCAGCGTTACGACTATCAGAAGAACTACCTGCAATCTGAGGGGTGAAATGACCTGCCTTGGCTTTGGACATGTCAGTGACTTTGCACTAGCTCCAGTCCCTTCTTGGGGTACTTTGTTTTATAATCTCGGTTGTTGCCCTTAGGATCTCATTCCCTATATCACTGCAGCTCCTTCCTTATGGGGAGCTTGATAGCCCTGCAGAAAGTACTCAGAGAGGAGACTTATGTCTACCCTCTCTCCAGCCTCACAAGGTCTTTATTTAAATAAACTGCCCTGTTTCATTAAGTTATGGGGATCTGAAACTTGCAAACACTGTTGTACCACAGCACAGGACTCCAACAGCAGATCTCTTCTGTATTTTCCCATCCACCTAGGTGAGTAAATAGTTCTGCTACGTGGACAATAAATAAACATACAGCTGAGGTCAAATGCTTAGAAATACAGACTCTGTGTTTGCAGAGATCAGAATCAGGGTTCTGCCATGGGCAATGCAGTCAGAGGAAAACATATGGCAGTTATCAGGACGAGAAGTGGACTTACTTAATCTTAAAAGGGAAAGATTTTCCTTTCTTTCTTCCCACCCTAAACTTCGAGAAAACTAGATAAGACAGGTCAGAAAAACACATTGTATTTTTCAGCATATTAAGGAGTCAGGATAAGCAATAACAGTTAAACAGCTGCTGTGAAGTTACCTTCACAACAGCAGAAAAATAACTACATACACCAGTCCCTCCTCAAACCCTGAGTTCAGGTGAAATCAAGAAATATGTTTTTAAAGTAGCTCTGATGTACAGAAGTGCTTAAACGCCTTAGAGCTGAAAAATCATAATCACAGCTTTTATCTCTTGGAGAGGGAGGGAAGCAAACAAGCAGAACAGACTCTCAGGAGCCACCGCTCAGACTGAATGATTTCCATGCAGCTGCTGTTCTAATGTTGCTTTCCAGAATTACATACTCCTGGAATAAGCCATGGCACAATTTGGAAATCAAATGGTTTTCAAAAATCACTATAATTCTGAAAGATTTTGCTTTGCAATAACTACTGTGACATAATCCCACCATAGCAAATGGATTTCTTGCAGACCAAGAAAACATTGTACACAGACTGCATTCCCTTTGCCACTGAGCTGTTCTGTTTATTTTGGAGCATAAGTAAGTGCTGCTGGAAGATGCAGGAGAAATTTTCTGTTCTGCAGCACTGGCAGCAGCAGAGGAATCTAGCTAAAAAAAAGGGGTTTGGTCACATTGCCACAGCCTGGATGTCTCTGCTGATACTGCCAGCAACGGCACTCATTCTAGAGTTCAGTTTCTTTTGGGAAGGGAGTGCTTACTCACATGAAAGAGGGTGACATTTGAGTCAGCTGGCAGATGACAGGCCCTGCCATGCTGAACCATGCCTGCAGAAGGTGGGTGGAAGCCTGAGCACTCCCCCGAGCAGGCCAGCTCCCTGCTGGCCTGCCCATCTCCACTTACCGCCATGTACGGCCGGCACCCGGCATCTCTTGTTTTGGCGATGGAGTCCACAAGCTGTCCACTAATGCCAAAGTCACAGAGTTTAATATTTCCATTTCTGTCCAGAAGAATATTGGAAGGTTTGATGTCTATAAGGGAAAGAAATTAAACTGGTAAGTCATGGCTGAAGGTTTCTATTTCAAAAACAGCAGCTGCAGAGAATCAACACCAGTAGTGGTTATGTCACGCGGCCTGCCTCTTCGTGTGGGGCAGGTACCAACTAGATGGGCTCATCACAGGTTATCTAAGGTGCCCAGGGACAACAGGAGATGGAACTAACCCCATATGATAGAACCACAGAACAGCTGGAGTAGTAAGGGGCTTCTGGAGAACATCTCATTGAACTCCCATGCCTAAATACATCGCATGGTTGTAGGTGGATGCAGCCATCCCATTCATTCTTGAAATCCCTTTGGAGCCTGCTCGACATGGCTGGGTGCAGGCCATGCCACTCTGCTCGGAATCAATAGTCAGATGGGAAATTTGGAAATAACGGGTAGCAATACTAGTCTGGAAATATTAGCACACCCCTACTATCTTCTCTTTTCTCTGACTGAATGGGAAATATATCTGTGCTACTTCATATATCCTACTCCAATCACTGGTTAGAATGAAAAACTTCTAATCAAAGAAGTGACGAAACATCGACCTAACCACGAAGGTCATGTTTGTGCAAAAGCTGTAGTGCTCCCTCAGTGCTTACATTGACTGTAGTATGAATGCTTATAACATTTCAATTTGAAACAAAAGCCATTTTAAATCCTTACAACTATCCTTGTAGGCAATAAGAAAAAGACAAGAACTTACCTCTGTGAATGATTTTCAAGTTTTCTTTTAAGTGGTTTAGTGCTTTCACAGTCTAGGAAAGAAATACAGAATTAAAAAGTAAGCCAATGTCATAAGATTACTATGATTATTAAACTTTTGGATCTCCAGTAATGGGGGTAGGAGAAGAATACTGAAGGCATTAAGATATCAATCCTCTAATACGTTATATAATGAAGCATTTTTCTTGCATTTCTTTCATACAGAGGTGATATAAAAGAGGGCATGTGTTAAGTAAGACATATCAGCTGTTGCAAATTAAGTTTGGAAAAGGAGAACAAGAGATGAAGTTGAATAATTCCTGATATTAATCATTTTTAGTAACATAATTTAAGCCCTATGCTGTATTTTTTACTACATTACAAGGCCCCTGATCTGCCATTCTCATTCTACTGCCAAGCACCACCTCATCCCACTGTGTGAGGAGCAGCAAAGGGGCCTGGTCTGCTTTACCTGTTTGCCATCAAATGCAAGAGATGCCAGAGAGCCTTATTTCATAGGACTGTTATAAAAGTATTGGAAGTTTATCATTTTTTTCATGAAAAAAGAATGAAAGGAAGGTGAAGATGGTTTTGTTCTCTCCAAGTTGCTGGGATTCAGGAAATGGGGAAAATCTTCTTTATGGACTGGTTACAGTGCCCAGCACCTGCTTCTCTATCACGCAATACACTATGGGACAGTTAGTTATTAGCATACTCATCACCATTAAAGTCAATATAATGACAGCAGTTTTGCTGCATGCAGGGTGGCCAGCTTTCTCACAAGCAAGTGAAAGAAATCTGAGTGTTTAAGTTATCTTAAAAAATGTACAAAGAAGATTTAATAAAATACTCACAGCTAAAGTGATTTTGCCTAAGATTTCTTCTGGAATAACATCATCTAATACACTATATACATATTTGTAAAACTTATCAAACGAGGTAGACATGAGCTCCATACAGATCCAACAGTCACCCTACAAAAAGAAATAATCTCTGTTACTGTCAAGCTAAAATAATAAACCAAAATTTGGACAACATAAAGAAATTCTTTGAACTGAGTCAAGCACATAAATAAGCAACATACATTTAATATGAAAGATTCAATTACTGTTGATTAATTTTAGTGATCAGACTAGTTTTATTGATCAGCTCAGCAGCTTTTCTGCTAGTAGTAGTCAGCGAGGGCAGCAGAAGAATCACTCACACATGTACCTCTCCCCAACTCCCAGTTACCAGTGGAGAGGTGTAACCAGCCAGCTTAGACTTCACATTTAATTTAAGATGTCTGAAGTTAGATGAATGCAAACCTCAAAAACTGCCTGGCTCTCAAGAAAACTGACAGCATACTGAAACACTAACATACACAATAAGACTAAAAAATTCCTTGGAGTTTATGGCAACTGTACAGAGGATGTTTCATACAAGACTAATAGACAGGATATGGGCAAAAGAAAATGTAAGTAAATCCAAGTATGAGCTATCTTCACTTCTGATTTACATTTTACAATTTAAAAGAATGTAAAGGCAGACAAGTATAAAACAAACAGACAAGAAACTTTGTTCAATCAAAACCTAAACTAAATCAAACTATCAGAAAAATAACATGCTATTTTTTTCGAAACTCTCCCCGAGATCTGTGAATATACCCCACACTGTGAAGTTTCTGGGGATGAGAAATGGATCTCTTTAAAGATGATCTAC